TGTCTCGCAGATCAACTATTTGCCGAAGCCGATTACTTCAGTCTTCGGCTTCGGCAAAGCAAATCACTTTACTTTGCTCATCCTCGTCGAATAATTGTTAATTATTCTGCCATCCCGCGGAATACCTGGAGATCATTAAGTAGTCATAACCGACGAAGCTGTAAATTTACCTCGAATGCGAGCGCGCGTATAAAAGATAATAAGAGAAGAAACGGCCCAAATTGGCCTAATTGGCCAAGTTGGGTTGACAAAAATCGCTTCTCTGAGGAAATCCTTGACAGGCTGTTCTTTTATTTTAAAATATGCCACTTTCAATACTATTTTGAGCCAAACTCTTATATTGCGCAATTGGGGTCAAGTTTTTACAGATACGCTAATATTTGACATTTTTATTTCATGCAACTGCGGTAAAAGAAACTTGCCTTTGTTTTCCAATTTAGACTTAAACAGAACTTGGTTTTTCTTTTTATGGTGGTTTTCCATCTTTTTAGCGTCAATCGAAATCATCCTAGTCCCAGAGTTTCAAGTAGCCGATTGGCCAGGAAGTCAATTTTCATTTCCTTTTTGTGGACTTTAGAGTCTGACGAGTAGTTGCTCCCCTTCTTCTCTCGGTTCTCAACAGATGCCCACTCGTGACAGAACTGTTCGGTGAATACTCAGTTTGATAGTCAATCTTTCCTGTTTCACCCACTCGTCCACCACTGTAAATGTAGTTGCCTTGCTTGGCTTCTTTGTGTTTGGTCTCCATGATGCTGTCATTAAAATTGCGCAAGGTCAAAGGGAGTCCACTCAAGGCGGCATCTTTAAGAGCCTTCTCGACATAAAACCCAGTGTAAGCTATGAGTTTTTTTTCACAGTGGCAGTAACAGTTTCAGAGCTAAAAATTAAAATAAATTGAAATCTTAACAGAACTCTTGCTTGACATTCATACTCCTGTCGATCTGGTTAATTCTTTCGGAGTGTTTAAAATCCATTGGAAAATTTTTTTTTCAGGCCAGTACAAAAACATAGCAATATTTCGCTGAACAAAGGGCTAAAACCAGAGTTGTTCAAAAGTTCCTCTACTTTTTCATAGAAGGCCAAAACACCATTTTCATCAAATGTGACATCATAACTGCTTAAACAAACTTTTCGAGCAACTTTCTGTAGTTCTAAAAACCATTGTTTTTTACTTTGTTTTAGAGCATGAGCTACTTGGCCAATTCTTCGTACAATAGTTTCTGTAGCTCTTGTGGCTTGATGCATCATTGCTGGGTAAAAATTTACTAGGTCAAGTTGAGAGGCATTAAGATGTCAAGTTTGACCAAGGTGCTTCTTTGCATATTCTCATCTGCCATAAATGACAGTAAGTATTTTTTGTTAATTTCAATTGACAGAAGGGTGTTTTCCAAAATGAATGCTTGTACACGTAGCGCAAAACCTCTTAATAAAGTTTTTCACATTCAATTACATTAGTTTTTCTCCATGATTGGTGTGTGGATACTGTATACATGTAACTGTCGAACAGTATATATATGTGTTTTGTATTTGGAAGACTCAAGTTTAAAAAAGGTGAACAATGCGGGAATAAAAAATATAACAAGCCATGATTTCTGTTACGTATTGTCGATTCTGAGCACAGGTTACCATCCAACCTGAGTCACAGTCCACATCTATTTTTAGAGCCGCTATTCTGGCTCTACTAGGGCCTTCCACAAGTTGCTCGTCAACTTTTTGGCGACTTCTTGCATTTCGAACAACTTTTTTCGTTTCGAGCAATTTTTGCATTCTTAGCAATTTCTAGTTTTCTATCAATTCTGAGAAATCGGAGCGGCAAAAGTTGTATACGGAGTTGTAAATATGGGAAGAAAGGATTCTGACAATCATGACAACTTCTTTGCTAGTTTAAACCAGCCTATTTTAAGTTTAGAGTTCGTCATAAAGGAAGCCGGGTCGGTATTAACTTCGAATTTCCCTGTTATGCAAATTAAACTGTAATTCAACACTTTTTTTTTTCTCGCATTTCTTTGTAAAACGAAAAACGAGCTTTTTTGTCATTTTGACGCCAAAAAGAACCCCGACTATGTAAAAATGCTCCCATTATTTTCGTTTTAGAGACCGTGCTAATGGAAAAAAACAAAAACTGAATCATTAACATCAATAAGAATGCGAAACTGTTTCCCGAAACTTTAGGAAACTTCCAAACTTTAAGGTGGCTCTGAACCCTATGTACATATTTTTCAAAAACTTTCCCAAAAGTTGCGTCTTATAATTTTTATTAAAATTTGATAATATAAAAATATTTCACCTGTAGTTTGTGAATTGTAAGTCCCTAAAGCTGTAATTAAGGGTGTTTTTAGGAGATCATACTGCTACTGTGGTACCCTATCGTGTCACAAAACATGATAAAAACGTGTTCACCAATGATTGGGCAGTTTTTTGATACCATGATTGTAGCATCAAGTGATAAAGAGTGGTTATAATGAACCATCAAAATGTAACTGCTGGAAACTGTTTTGAGCCACCTTAAACAAGATACAATACAATACAATACAATACAAATTTTATTGTCAACCCCCCATGGGGGCTTTTCAGAGACAATGATAAAGATAATTAAAAAAATACTCAAAGATTATCGATAAACAATCATTGAAAAACTATTTACTAGTTGTATTCAGGGCAGTGGCTAGACCTTGCTTGGTGCCGATCTAGAATGGAACAGTAAGGCGCCTCCTTCCCTCCACTAGCCTGGGTGGACACCCTGGGCAAGTGTCAGTACACCCTTAACCTCCCTTAACCAGGGTTACGGTTCCACTGCCTTGTGGTGGCTAGGGATAGCCAAAGGCTATGGGAGCAAACCCTGAAAGAAAAACCGGAGTGGAATCCCGATAGGCGGTTGCAGGGCATATTTGTCACCTTCCAGCAACTCCTGCATCCTGGTCCGTCCTCAGTCGTCTCGACCTTCTCTTGCCACTGGACCCGGCGCATCAGGAAGAGAGAGTGAGGCTGATCCTGCTTAAGTCTCCCTCACTTTAATCCAAGTCACGCGCAAGTCATGACATCACCACCAGTTACTCTATAAGTCCTGTGGCGATGGGGAAACGGCGAAGCAGCAGGTGAGGATACACTGGGAGCTGTAGTCGTGAACCTGCACACAGGCGGCTCAGGACAAGTGGTCGCCCTTCACTGGACCGAGGCAGCAGTGGAGTCCGGCAGCCTCCTGAGTGACCGAGCAGCCCTCTTTAGGACCGCTCTGCTCGCCTCCGTAGCATGAGGACGGGGCTTGAAAAGGTGCCCTAAACATAGCCTGCCTCAACTCGCCCTGGCCAGTATACCGCGACTGGCGGGGATCCCTTTTTTGCGGTCGAAACCAGAGAAAGGAGAAAACAAAAGCGCTCATCTTAGCGTCTTGGAACGTTAGAACTCTGCTTGACAACACTAAAGCGAACAGGCCAGAGAGAAGGACTGCCTTAGTGGCTAGGGAACTTGATCGCTATAAAGTTGATATCGCGGCTCTCAGCGAGACACGCTGCGCCGACAAAGGCCAGCCGACAGAGACTTATGGCGGTTACACATTTTTTTGGAGCGGACGCAGCCGTGAAGAGCGGCGGGAGGCAGGAGTGGGATTTGCCATCAAAACGACATATGTCCATAAACTCGCCTGCATTCCTGAGGGTCTCAACGATCGCCTCATGAAAATGCAGCTGCCACTTGGACAGAAGACAAATGCCACCTTGATAAGTGCCTACGCCCCAACCATGACCAACCCTAACGAGATCAAAGACATAGCCTCTCTCCCAAAATCAGAGAGGCTCATCATCCTCGGCGACCTCAATGCACGCGTCGGCAATGACCACCAAGCCTGGCCTAGAACCATCGGAAAACATGGAGTAGGAAAATGCAACAGCAATGGTCTCCTCCTGCTCAGTCTGTGCGCCTCACACGACCTGGCCATTACCAACAGCATGTTCCGCCTGCCAACCCGCAACAAGACAACATGGATGCATCCTCGTTCAACGCAATGGCATCTCATTGACTATGTTATCGCCAGGGCCAAGGACAGGCGGGACGTACGAGTGACCAAAGCCATGTGTGGCGTCGACTGCTGGACGGACCATCACCTGATTGTCTCAAAATTGAATTTTCCTATCCAGCCGAAGAGAAGGCCTCAGGGGAAGAAAGTCCCCAGAAGACTAAATGTCAAAAAACTCAAATGCCCTGACACTGTTCAAAAACTCCAACTAAACCTGGACAACAAACTCGAGAACCTCCAACCCAATGTTGAAAGTGTTGAAGAGAAATGGGCATCATTCAGGGACGCAGTTTACTCCGCTGCCCTGGAAACTTTTGGCCCTGCTACCAGACACCACCAGGACTGGTTCGACGAGAACGACAGTGAGATACACTCTTTGCTCGAAGAAAAACATCGTATGCTGCGGCCCACCAGAACGACCCGACCAGCGTGGTGAAGAAAGCTGCCTTCACCAACATGCGCAGCAAAGTCCAAGCTAAGCTCCGCTCTGCGGGACTCCTGGCTCAGCGCCAAGGCGATGAAATCCAAGGATATGCCGACAGACAGGACACAAAGAGGTTTTATGATGCACTGAAAGCTGTCTACGGACCACAGTCCTCTGGATCCTCTCTCCTACTTAGTGCAGACGGCTCAACCCTGCTGACCGACAAGAAGCAGATCCTGGATAGATGGGCAGAGCACTTTAACAGTGTGCTCAACCGTCCTGCAGCTATCAATGACCAAGCAATCGCACGCCTCCCCCAACTGGCAATTAACACAGAGCTCGACACCCCACCTACATATGAAGAGGTCAACAAAGCCATCAAGCAGATGACCACAGGGAAAGCACCAGGCCCCGACGCCATTCCTGCTGAGGTATACAAGACAGGTGGCGAAACCATTCGTAGTCAGCTGACAAGCCTGTTCCAGTCTATGTGGCACCAAAAGCACCTGCCTCAAGAATTCAGGGATGCCACAATCGTGCACATCTATAAGCGGAAGGGCAATCGCCAGGCATGCGATAACCACAGAAGAATATCCCTCCTATCTATAACAGGCAAGATCTTGGCCCGTGTCCTGCTCAACCGCTTGCTGGAGCACATGGAGCAAGGCCTCCTCCCTGAGAGCCAATGTGGCTTCCGTGCGGGTCGTGGGACCAGTGACATGATCTTTGCTGCTCGTCAGCTCCAGGAGAAGTGCCTGAAACAGCATCACGACCTCTACACGACCTTCGTTGACCTGACCAAGGCCTTCGATACAGTCAGCCGGGAAGGCCTCTGGAAGATCTTGGAGAAATTTGGCTGCCCGAGCACTTTCATCACAATCGTCTGCCAATTCCATGACGGCATGATGGCCCGAGTCCTCGACGACGGTGAACCATCCGAAGCCTTCCCAGTGACTAACGGAGTCAAACAGGGTTGTGTCCTGGCCCCGACGCTGTTCAGCTTGATGTTCTCGGCAATGCTGTCTGATGCCTTCAGGGACTGTGATCCTGGCATCAACATCAGGTACTGGTCCGATGGGAAACTGTTCAACCCCTGGAGGCTGCTGGCCGTTACTAAGGTGAAGGAAACTATTCTTAGAGACTTTCTCTTTGCTGACGACTGTGCCCTCAACGCCAGCAATGAGCAAGAAATGCAAGCGGAGATGGACAGTTTTTCCACAGCCTGCAACAACTTCGGCCTCACCATCAGCACCAAGAAGACACAAGTAATGTACCAGCCAGCCCCGAACAAGCAGTACCACGAGCTGCAGATAACGGTGAATGGTCAGATACTACAGGCAGTAGAGACTTTCACATACCTGGGCAGCACACTCTCTCGCAATGCAAACATTGACGCTGAGATCAACAACAGAATCTCCAAGGCAAGCAGCGCGTTTGGGAGACTGCGGGAGAAAGTCTGGGAGAGAAGAGGAATCAGCCTCAATACCAAG